GCGCTGTACGCAATATAGGCGTAGTTCCGTTACTATAAGATAATAAGATGTACTTTGTTGATCCAAAATTGGGAAATGGTGTTGTTATGAAATAAAAAATAATTTTTTTTTATTTCTAACTTTTTTTTTTCTCCCCAATTTTCGGCGCCCCCTATGGGTCGATGCGCCCTTAGCATTCGCCTATACTGCCTATGCCGAGGGCCGGCCCTGGCTGCGGATACAGTAGCAATAAAGCCAGCGCTCACTGCACTGAGTATGACTTTTCCACATACGAACGCAACTCGTCCCGTTGTGCACGCCTCATGCACGCCTCATGCCCGCCTCATGCCCGCCTCATGCCCCCCGTACACACACACTCATATGGGAGGGGCGGTCTCTTCCCCCAACAACAGTGCATTACATAACTGTGCACATCTTATACTTATTTGATAACTGCTATATCCCTTGGTTACTTGAACACGCTACAATATTATTAACCAGTGTCCTACCTTAGTGCAGAAGTAGACGCATTTTTTTACGTTCCGCATATATGTCCACTATCCCCTCAGTGACAGCTGTGCAGTTATGTCGTCCTCAATGTGAAGAACAGCAAGTGAGGAAAACCTTGTTCCTCCCATCGTTGACCGCAGCCAGTTCCGAATTCTCCTCATTGCAGAAAGACTTCTCTCTCAGGTGGCAGATCCGATAGGAGTCAGTGCCAACTGGAGCATCTTGTATACATTTAGATGAATCAATAAAACACAAAAAACGCTCCTTGATTTCAAGCTGCTCTGCATATCTTAAACACACTGATAATTGTTCCATTTTGCAAGACCTGGCCTCATCTGCAATCAGGGTCGGCGTCATGGGGGGTCATTCGCGGGCCATGCCCCCCCAAATGAGTCACTGTGCCCCCCCAACGCAGGGTGGGCAAGCCTTGTCACTTTGCCGATTTTTTCTTTTTTTTATCATATAGGCTAAGTGAAAACGTTTCCACTAAAGGTTTTTTGTGTGAAATACATCAGAAATAAATAATACAAATATAAAACACAGCCTGAGGTGTGCTCACTGCTGCTCTCTGATTGGTGTGTTGCTTGACCAATGACCCCCGACCTTTGTTTTGTTATCATTACGCGGCTGAGTGTTTAGATGAAAGCCCAGTGGCGATCTGTTCATCTGTTACACTGATTATACAGTAAAGCCATCAAAAATAATATGATATACAGTACAGTACAAGTACATGGGTCTCTGTGTTTCATTCAAGCTCTGTGTGTGTGTGGCACGAGCGCATTTTGTGAGTGCGCGAGCGGTAACGTGGAATGTTGTGGTTAGCATCTGGTTAGCTAGCTATGCTAACGGATATAAAGGGCTGTTTCTACACCAAGGTGGAGGAGAGTCCTCTCCTGTCAGACTGAGAGGATCTTATAACGTCAGCTCAGTGAGGTAAGGACTCTCTCAGTGTTTAGATAGTTCACTTTAGTGTAAGTTATCTCAGTGGGTCTCAAACGGTTTGGTCACCATTTATGTAAGTATTTTCGAGGAATACCTTTATATGATCATTATAGTTATTAAAGAGAGAATAAATGAAAAACGGGTATGAAATACTATAGGACAGTAACACAAGAATACAGTTTAAAAGGGGAATGATTAGTGAAATATCCATAAAGAAAAAGTAAATCTGTGTACAGTTCTGTTTCATATGGATGCTGAGAGATGTAGGCTATCCATAGATCTCTTCACTTTGCTCTCAAAGTGCACCAGATTGATGCATTTAACTTCAATATTTTAAAAATAATCTTCCCGGGGGAGCATGCCCCCAGACCCTCCTAGAGGAGGTTAGGTCCACCCCCACCTAAAACATGTTCACATGGATAGGATACTAAATACATTTGCACACTTGTTATATGATGGCCTATGTCCATATCAAATCAAGTTTTATTTATATAGCACATTTTTCAACGATTTTTGGTCGAGCCAAAGTGCTGTATATACAGTATAATACAAAAATAACCTACGGTAAAGACACTTTACAGCAAATACAACAGCACAGTTTGTGCAGAATATCAGTATGAGAAAACGACACCCTCTGTACTTATATGTTTCTGTTTTGGTGGTCGTGCCACAACCGTGCATGTATGCACAAGTCATAGGTGCGCTATACAATAGCACTACACCCTGCATGTGTGTGAAAGACAATAGACTTTACAGCATGTTTTTTTTAATTGAAGTTGGTGTTTGTGTGTTGGTTGTTGACGGCAGTGTGTGCCCCCCCTTGGTAAATGATTGCCCCCCCATTCAAGTTGTTCTAGAGTCGACCCTGTCTGCAATCATAGAAACAAATCCAGTATCCTGCACTTTCTCTACCATTTCTGCACAAAGTTAGCACGTCAATGACTTCGTTCTGGAAATCTGGGCTAGTCGCATTGAAATAGTTGGACTGCATGTTTTTAAAAGCAGAATCATACTTGGAGAAGAAGCCACAAACCTCAAGACAATTCCCACGCGACTCTGACTCGCTTCCCTCCCGATGCCCACGAAAAGGCAATCCGAGTTTGGACAACAGCCTCACAATATCAACAATTTTGCACAAATAAGATCTGTTCTTCTCAACAGAATCTTCGTGGCTTCGGGAAAGTTGAGCTGCAATAGATCCAGAAGACGCAGTCACTTTATAGTTATCCCATTTAACCATGCAGTTCAGATGGGCCTGGGAGTGTGCATGTTTCTCCAGTTGGCTGCTTAGTTGTTTTCCAGTCACTCAGGCCCTTGCTAAAGGAATCCTCCACACCGCTGTCAGTCTGGAAGTGGCGGCATGAAAAACAGAAGACGGCATCCATTCGTACTGAATATTCCAGCCAGGGATAGTTCTTGTAATTGTACGTGGAAAATTATCGTTTTGTTTTCCCAATCATTTTTTAGGGGAATTCGGATAAAGTAGGCTGCTTGGGACAGCTGTGTTTTCCCCCAAGATCATCATGACCCACTGACGGCCCCGGTGGTCTCCCTGCTGTGGGGTTAATGACGTTAGCTGGTCCTGCTAATCCCGAGCTCTCCGCTGTGGGGCTAACGTGATCTGGTTTAGCTAATCCCGAGCTCTCCGCTGTGGGGCTAACGTGATCTGGTTTAGCTAATCCCGAGCTCTCCGCTGTGGGGCTAACGTGATCTGGTTTAGCTAATCCAGAGCTGCTTGTTTGTGTGTCTGCCACTTCACATTCTGACGGCTGCTGGTTGGTAAGGTTAGGCTCAGTCGGTGGCTCTTCTGTTGTTGAAGCTTTTACAAGACGAAATTGGACGTTTTAAAAATCGCTGAATATCCATTACTGCTAATTCTTGTAATACAATAGCTGAATCACTTGTATACAAACAAAAGCGAGGGAATTTGAGTCCTTAACCTCACACGTCACACACACACACACAAACGTCACAACATGCGACTGCTCAAAAATGAAATTATTTCAAACAAAACATGATATTATTCAGATTTGTATTGTAACAATCATTTTATTACATCTATTAAAATATTGATATACGAAATATTTGTATTGGAACAGTTTTAGACTTAGTAATGCAGTAACATATTTCAGCCACCAGGGGGGGCAATGCCCCCCCGCAAAATCCGCCTATGGCTGATACTACTTGTGTACACACACACACACACACACACACACACACACACACACACACACACACACACACACACACACACACACACACACACACACACACACACACACACACACACACACACACACACACACACACACACACACACTAAAGGGCTGCTGGAGCTCCTTCCCCTGTGTGTGTGACCGCTGAAGCCCGGCGGATGTTACCTGTTTCCCGGGAGTCGGGCTGTAAACACTTTCCTCGGAGTCCACCACCTCCAGGCTCTCGTCGTACGGCTGGTTCTTCAGCAGTCTGCTTTCTTTCTCTCCCCGCTCCATGTGCCGCTAACAGCCTGCCGTTACACACATTAATCTCCCAGGCGTTTTAGTCCCGGAAAAAACGTTTATTTAGTTTACCGTTTAGCCACTAAGCATCAAAAGCTAAAAACAAACCGAACCACGGGCGGCTCTAAATCCGTCCGAGTCAACAAAAACGGTTTAACTGATAAAAGAACGGATAAAATAACACATAACAATAGACTAACTCTATATATGTGTTTTAACGGTCTCTCAAACACATTAAATTAGTTGTAAACTGTCCAATAATCTGCGTCAAAGCCCGTTAGCAATGTCTAGCTTCTGGAGGCTGTATCCCATGGATGTATGTATCCTGGCAACGGACCGTCGCGCGATGCATCATGGGAGTACCGTTTTTCTTTTAGACAACGTTTCAGTGGAGAGTTCCGACAAGGAAACACTGCCCGCTAGTGGTGAATAGAAACAAATGGAGAACATGAGGCTGGATTACAACTGTTTTTGTTTACATTTGACCATTAAACATGTTTTGGAGAAGTTTGAGAGCCTGTGTTGTTGACGTGAGTTCACTGTGAGCTAATTTCAACCACTTTGACACATATTGTCTGAGTTTAAGCTCTATTAAGCGCTAGTTTTTAAATAAACATTGAATTGGACTACTTTTTGTAATGTGAAAAGGGTTGCAATTACTCACAATCCCAATGGGAATCAACATCCGACTCCATGCAGCTCATTAAGTGTAAGGCACATTTTTTTGTGAACAAGATGTCTATAACAAACTAATAACTACTTTAGCAGTTGCCGTGAGAGTTTCTTTACCTCGTAGTGGTTAAAAATCACTTAAAGTTAGCATCAAACTGGCCTATTTATTTTATTTAAAAAACATTTTTTTAAAAGGTAAAGCCCAGGTGAGACACGTTTGAAGATACCAATGACACACACACACACACACACACACACACACACACACACACACACACACACACACACACACACACACACACACACACACACACACACCAGAAGATGTGAATGGAAGTTATTTCACAGAAAAATAAATTCCATTTCCAGACAGTCAAGACATGTCCAGGAACCACCGAGAAAAGATGGAAAATGTATGCATTTATTGAAGAACACAAATAAAAAACATCTCAGTCTAATCGGGTTTGTCCCATGTTTGTCGTAGCCATCTGTTCACGTGTGACCTCGAGAGGGAGTGTCCAGACGTCAGAAAATTAAGGCAATTCCTGAACTGAGGAAAACATAGGAAATGGCAGTCGGTTTTAACACCATTAATAAAAACACTTACATTTTGTGCTACTGACCAACATACAAAAAATAACTTTTAAAATATTAACATTTTTACTTTCTTTTTTTTTTGTTTAAAGAACATCCTCAGTGGGCCGATCCTGTTGAGGATTCCTCTGATGAACTCACTTTGGGGAGTGCGGCTTGTTTTCACAAAAGAAGTTGACTCAGGCTATGATACAGGTGCTTCACACTTGCCACAAATAACATTACCGTCAATTCAACATTGTCCACACCCATAACATAAATGATCTTTTTTTTTCTTTTTTAAAGTCTTCAGTGTACATCACAACCCAACGTGATGAGAATTCATGTTTGACATTAGAGTAGTACCATACATCATAAATACAAATCCAGACGCTTGTGCATATTTCTGTTGTGTTTTCTGAGCTCGGGTGTAGCCACCTTGTTGCAGCTGGATTTGTAAAGGGAGGGCGGGGGAGGAGGGTATGGCCGTAGAGGGGGGGGGGCAGTTAGACCGATGGCTCGTTTAAGTGCTTGAGGCGGATGCGCTGGATGTAGCTGGCGTTGGCAGGGCTGTAGCGGCTGGGGCTGAAGTCTGGAGAGGCGGCGTGCCGGGCGGGGCTGAAGCGTGCCGGGGAGCCGGGGGTCTGAGGCATCCTGAGGCCTGGTTTCACCACCGCAGGGCTGGGCCAGCTGGAGGAAAGACGAAGAATACATACTTTATTAATCCCTCACAGGACTGCACTTGTTGACTAAGCCACTGCCGCCTCAACACATCAATAGTTAGTGGTTGTAACTATTTAACTATGCTGCTAATGTTAACAAAAAGTACAATGTCTTCAGTTTCTTGTCCCATAGAACAAAATACAAATGTTTTGTTGTACATTTTAAAGAATTTCTGATTGTTTATATTAAGCTATTTGTCTAATATTAGTTTATTATCTTGAGATCAATTATGGGTTGGATTTGTTGGGTCACATGGATGTGGGCGGCACTCATAGAAAATATAAATCACCTGTTCATCTGTGTGAGGTGTGTGTGTGCAAGAGAGGGTCGCTGTAACCTTTTGGTAGCTCATTAGAATAAGTTGAGGGATTTCTCCACCACCTGGCATGTCACCTCGCTACTTATTCCTAAACATGTCTGTAATTGTGTGAAGGTGTGACTAATAGCAAAACGTTCAGGCTGCAAGAGCTGAAAAGCCCTTTCTGAAACAAAGGGTGCTACATTTCTGATGAAATAGCCATGAATCATCCGCCCTTTTGTTTATTTTGTGGCATCCACCACATCACTTTTTATATTAAAGACCGTTGAAATCTATAATAAGTAGGGATGCTCCGATCGCTAATTTCGGGGCCGATCGCCGGAATCAGTATCGGCTGATACCGATCGCCGATCCGATTGAGTGGGCGGGGCCTAAATGGAAGATTTAAACATCACTTTAAATCTTTCATTTAAAGTGATGTTTAAAACTCAGTTAATGGGGCTCATTCACTGGAGCTTCCACAAACAACAATCAACTTAATTATTACATTCAAATGAAGTACATTATTCAAGTTTACATTCACTTTGGATAATAACACGGGAGAAATGAGCGGAAGCGCTCTCTTTTCTTCCCTCTCTCCCTCTCCTGACAGCCTGTCAGTATCTCATGCAGCTCACTGATCTAGTAATGAGTGACCCGACAGTGAAGAATAAATATATGTATAATAACTAGTTTAGCTTGTTCCAGAGGTAGATAAAATAGCTAAGTGTGTTACTGTTAGGTCTAACTCTTGTGTGTTTCGCTCCGCTCACCGGTCCGGCGGGCGGAGCTGCAGGATTTCTGCTTCACACACGTTATCGCTATTTTACTGTCTTTTTCGGACCCCTTAAAATAATGCCAGACCGGTGAAGCCATTTTGGCGAGCTTGTTTTGCCGCACACAGAGAAAAGTGTCATGTATTTTACGTCATGCGATCGGCTCTCGCGATCGGCATGTTTAGAGAGCACCGATCGATCGGTAGAGAGTGAGTATCGGCCGATCTCGATCGGTGACCGATCGATCGGTGACCGATCGATCGGAGGATCCCTAATAATAAGTAACATTTTTCACGGTCATATGCTTTAACATATATTTAAGATTGCAAATGTAGTCAATGAGATGATATTCCAACAGCAGAGGAGTGAAACCAGCAGAACACTAATAGAGAAAGTATGCGAGCAGCTACTCACCTCTGCATGTCGGAAGTCGAGTATGAGGTCATTGTGCTCTTCCACTTGTGAATGCTGGGATACTTCAGGACGTCGACGTCCAAGCCTTGTATCGCTGAGAAAACCTGTCTGTCCAACTTGGATGGTGAATCCCTGCAAAACCGCAGAATGAATAAACTGTTTTTAAAATCATAACTTGTCATTTTTGGGCCAAAACTTTGTCTGTTGCAAAGTACGTGTTTTGACTCTAGAGGCTACACACCCCCAACTTATTTTTTGACAAATGTATATTTTTCAGAAAAATACATACAAATAAAGCCCGCCCCTTCCAAAACAATTGTGTTGATAAATAAAATAATAAAAATCACAATGATGCTGTTAAAAATCATTATTATAGCAAACTCAATAAATATAACAAAAAATGTATTTGAAAAAACAAACATTTTTCTTTTTTTTGCATAAAGTTGAAAGTTTTAAACACATCACCAAAATAAATATTAATATATCTTATTCAATAAATGATCATAATGATGCTGTTAGAAGACATTTTAAAAAGAAAACAAGTAAATAAATCCTAAAGAAAATGAACAATTTGTGGAAAAACATCATCAATCTTAAGAATTATAGTAAACTAAGTAAATACATGGAATTCAAAGGAATAGACAAATAAAAACATGCATAAATATACTTGTTCCTGTGTATTATTTCTACAGTTTTAAACGCTATTCCTTTTTAACTAGTGTTACTCACCCTTCGATGAACAGTCCTCTCCTGATCTTGGGCGGGGTCCTGGGCAGGAACTCGTTGGAGTTATCTAAGGACTTGTAGGAGGACCCTGAGGACCCCGAGCTGCTCAGGTCTCTCCCCCCATGGTCCCACGACTTGGACCTGGCACAGAGGTTCCTCCCCCCCCCCAGTGCCCCCCCCCTAGTCCTGCCCAGCCCCTCCACACTCTCCTGGGCTTCAAAGAACTCCTCCGAGCTGCCGCTGCTCTCCTCCTCTCCTCCCTCTGCGGGATCCCCCCCCTCCTGCCCAATGTGACCCAGAGAGAGGCGGGTCAGCCCGGTGCTGAGGTCCGAGGCTGAGGAGGGGGGGGAGGAGAAGATAGAGGAGATGGAGGAGTTCCTGTGCTCCTCCTGCAGAGACATGCGCTCAAACTCCACCATGAGGTTGGAGATGGGCGACAGCATGGAGGAGGGGGAGGTGCGAGGGGCCACTTTGTCCCCGTTGTGAGTCCTGTCTCTGGAGGAGGAAGAGGAGGAGGAAGAGGAGGAGGAGGAGCACAGCCCGTTTTTGCAGGAAACCCCCGGCAACAAGAGTCCGTCGTCGCAGCAACACAGCAGCTCCTGCTCGGCTGCCGTCTCGATGAGGTCGGCCCCGCGGTGGTGCAGCATGGCGATGGGCAGGATGTGGAACTCGCGGCCCCCCGTCGCCCCCTTCAGGCCGGACGCGGCGCAGGACGTGATGCTGGTGAGCGCCGCGTTCTGCCGGTTCTTCATCTCCTCCAGGCTCATGTCGTCGCCCTCGTCCAGGAAGGCGCCCACGGAGATGGAGTTGCAGAACTTGTTGAGCTTTCCTGCAAAAAAAAGGGACGATGTGTTGGAGCTATTTATTGATCTTTATTTACTTTAGCTGTAACACTGTTACGAAACCTGTTCACTGTCCCGTTGATGATTGGATCATAGAAATAAAAGTACGAGATGGATACTCTTGCCTGGACTTGGATCATTTTCCCTGCGTAAGATTTGCTAACTGAGTTAATCTTCTGTTTTGTTTATTTTTGCAGCTACATGACGAATGACCAAAACAATGTGTGTTTCTTTTTCCAGTCGTTTACACTTTTTCTGGATATGCAGCTTATAAAAGCCGGCGGCTCTTCTTCCTCCGCAGGCTGAGGAGGTTCAACATGGACTCCAGGAAACTCTGCAGCTTCTACAGGTGCACCACAGAGAGGATCCTGACTGGCTGCTTCACGGCCGGCTACGGCAGCTGCACCGCCCTCAACCGCAAGGCTTTATATCATTCACCTGTTTGCAACTCTGATTGCACTATTTCTACTCCATTTGATCCGTTTTCATTTGTATTTACTTGCACTATGTTATCGGTTTTATTGTGTTGCATTGTTGGAGGAGCCTGTGACCTAAGATTTTCATCGACAGAACTGCACTGTAGCTATGTACGAATGACAATAAAAACGTAAAACTTGGAGGTACCTGGAGATGGGGTCTTGAACTTGTTGCTGGTCTCGTTCTCCCCGGCCTCCTCGTGACCCTGGGGGCTGAAGTCCCTCTTGCTGAGATACTCGTTCAGCTTCAGCAGCCCCTCAGCAGATGACAGGTCCACAAAACTGTCCAGAAAGTCCCAGTACTCAGCCCACGGGTGGCCCATCTCATGAGCCAGATCTCTGGAGATAAAAAAAGTATTATTATCATTTAGATGACACATGCAATACAGGGATTTCTCTGTATTCATTATGATAATACCCAGCAGTCACAGTGCCAGTGGATCGCTAATCAAATTCCCAATAGAAGTTTGATAATAGCTTGATATCCAATATTTGCTTATACTACACAAAGACATCCTCACACTAACTGCAGGTGCTTTTGAGTGAGTTTCAGGACTAATGTGAGGCTTTCAAGCCATGGTCCGTGTTCTTCCTCAGGACCCAGAACCTTGTCACAAAGCTCCATTAGAAACGTTTGTTATTGATAATTGTGTGTATCTTTTTATATCTAGTTTTGAGAGTAAAATGATTTTGGAGGGTTCAGGAAAGATGCTTTGCTACCTCAGTGTAATTATGAGCGTCACTGCTTCACAAACAAAATGACTGACTCATATTGACAATAATATAAGTTTCTGTCATCCAAATTATTTGTATCTACTCCAGTGTCTCACAGTATATTTAAGACAGTGTTGTAGTCAAGTCACCACTCTTCGAGTCCAAGTCCGAGTCACCAAGGGAGAGTCCGAGTAGAGTCCGAGTCATCATCACCTGTGTTCGAGTCCGAGTCCAAGTCAGAGTCACCTAAGAAGAGTCCAAGTCAAGTCCGAGTCACAAGTCTTCATGTATTAATCTTCGTGGATATATGTGTTGAAATGTAGCTGCTCCTCTACATTGCTTTTATCCTGTCATGTTATACTAATCTGTCTGTTGAACTGCTGTGAAGCGAGTTTGGCTACAATTCTTGTAATAGGTGCTATACAAATATAAAGCTTATTACTAATATTATTATTATTATTGTAAATGACCTTTAATATGTCTAACTATATTTAAAATGAGTTACCTTTTAGAGAAGTGATTATATTTGTATGCCAATATTTTCCTATGGTAAAGTTTTCGGTTTGCACTTTTATTTTGATAGTAATAAGATCGGGACTCTTATTTTGAAGGAACTTTTACCGGTTAAATCGGTTTACTGATAAAGATTAAGCCCCAGAAAGCACATGGCTACTTAGCATGCTAAATGAGTAATTCTGCATGTTAAGTAGCCATGTGCTTTCGTGTTATCGGCTGAATCTTTATTTATTGATGAGATCACGTTACTCTGATGACAGTGTTCAAGACAGCCTATATGTCTGAACTCGATCCTTAGAGTAATGTGTTACGGAGCCTTCTCTTCTATATTGTTTCCAAATAACAAGCATTTTGCGCTGCTCTTTTCCAATGTGGAAGCAGAATGTGTGAAAGCATAGCACGATGCGGGGTGTCTCTACTAGACATCTCTAGACTGGAATAGCGGGCCCAGTCCGTGAACTCGCCTCACAGGTGCACAAGCCAGGATAGAGGACATCAGACTCCAGAGAAAACTTGCTCGAGTCCGAGTCCAAGTCAGAGCGTCAATGTACAAGTCGAGTCCGAGTCATCGTGGGGGGGGAAATTCACGAGTCCGAGTCCAAGTCAGCGTACGCGAGAATTCACGAGTCAAAGTTCGAGTCGCATCAAGCAGTGCGCGAGTCCGAGTACTGAAAATCGACACTCGAGTCCGAGTCCAGGACTTCATCTCTGATTTAAGAAAACACAGGAAGACATCTTAAGCAGAGTAAGGTGTTGGACGTACCTGCCCACTCTCTCTGCCCCGCGGTCGGGATCAGACTTCAGGATATTGTGGAAAAGGTCGCCCCGGTCTCTGGGCGGCGTCTTCCAGGAGCGACGGAAATCATCTGCCTGCAGGAGGGAAGAACATCTGCTGCTCAATAAATAAGATAAGAGGTACTTTATTCATCCCCAGTTGGGACATCGTTGCAGCAGCATAAAAAACTAAACAAGTTAGTAGAAATAAACAATACAAGAATTTAAACATCTCAAAATAGAATTAAAACAGCATTAAGAAGTAGAAAATATACAGTAGACTGAAGATAACAACTCTACAAACTCTGACAATCAAACACTATTGAAGGGATTTAGACACAATATGAAGCAGGATATTATTTACTTTAAGCGTGTTAAGTTGAATATAAATGTGAAATGTACAGTGGGTGGAGTTATCCAAGGAGCTATGTATCAGTGAGTTCTCTGCCAGCCAGAGGTGAGTTGTTGAACAGAAAGGTTGCACTGATAGGGTCATAGATTTACTTTAGTTTGTTTATAGTGTCGTGGACAGTCCTCATTGATCAACTGTCACAACAAACAATAAATAGGGGCAGCTTTAGCCAACATGGCTCACTTCCAGCTGTTGTCCCGTCCAGATGATAATGGACACCCTTAAAATCACAATAGATGTATTATTGTAAAAGTAAGCAGGTAATCAGGAGGTGAACTTGCTTTAGAGGGACTCAGCGGGCCGGCGTAGGCTGTGACCGTCATGACGGGGTCCATCGGGCTTCTGGGGTGCGGATGGATCATAGAGAAACTCTCTGAGGACTCGGGGGACCAGAGACCCCCGATGATGGGCTGAGAGGTGTTATCCACTGCCCTCAGCAACGGGATGAAGCAGCGGTCTGTGATGCAACACACATTCAAGGTCACCTATTGTGCAAAATGCACTTCTTCATGTCTCTTCTACATCACCATGTGACCCCTCTTCTTCATGCCTCTTCTACATCAACACGTGTCCCCTCTTCTTCATGCCTCTTCTACATCAACACGTGTCCCCTCTTCTCCATGTCTCTTCTACATCAACATGTGTCCCCTCTTCTTCATGTCTCTTCTACATCAACACGTGTCCCCTCTTCTCCATGTCTCTTCTACATCAACATGTGTCCCCTCTTCTTCATGTCTCTTCTACATCAACATGTGTCCCCTCTTCTTCATGTCTCTTCTACATCAACATGTGTCCCCTCTTCTTCATGTCTCTTCTACATCACCATGTGACCCCTCTTCTTCATGTCTCTTCTACATCAACATGTGTCCCCTCTTCTTCATGTCTCTTCTACATCAACATGTGTCCCCTCTTCTTCATGTCTCTTCTACATCACCATGTGACCCCTCTTCTTCATGTCTCTTCTACATCAACATGTGTCCCCTCTTCTTCAAGTCTCTTCTACATCAACATGTGTCCCCTCTTCTTCATGTCTCTTCTACATCACCATGTGACCCCTCTTCTTCATGCCTCTTCTACATCAACACGTGTCCCCTCTTCTCCATGTCTCTTCTACATCAACATGTGTCCCCTCTTCTTCATGTCTCTTCTACATCAACACGTGTCCCCTCTTCTCCATGTCTCTTCTACATCAACATGTGTCCCCTCTTCTTCATGTCTCTTCTACATCAACATGTGTCCCCTCTTCTTCATGTCTCTTCTACATCAACACGTGTCCCCTCTTCTTCATGTCTCTTCTACATCAACATGTGTCCCCTCTTCTTCATGTCTCTTCTACATCAACATGTGTCCCCTCTTCTTCATGTCTCTTCTACATCACCATGTGACCCCTCTTCTTCATGCCTCTTCTACATCAACACGTGTCCCCTCTTCTTCATGCCTCTTCTACATCAACACGTGTCCCCTCTTCTTCATGTCTCTTCTACATCAACATGTGTCCCCTCTTCTTCATGCCTCTTCTACATCAACACGTGTCCCCTCTTCTTCATGCCTCTTCTACATCAACACGTGTCCCCTCTTCTTCATGCCTCTTCTACATCAACACGTGTCCCCTCTTCTTCATGTCTCTTCTACATCAACATGTGTCCCCTCTTCTCCATGTCTCTTCTACATCAACATGTGTCCCCTCTTCTTCATGCCTCTTCTACATCAACACGTGTCCCCTCTTCTTCATGTCTCTTCTACATCAACATGTGTCCCCTCTTCTCCATGTCTCTTCTACATCACCATGTGACCCCTCTTCCTCATGTCTCTTCTACATCAACATGTGTCTCCTCTTCTTCATGTCTCTTCTACATTAACATGTGTCCCCTCTTCTTCATGTCTGTTCTACATCAACATGTGTCCTCCCTTCTTCATGTCTCTTCTACATCAACATGTGTCCCCTCTTCTTCATGTCTCTTCTACATCAACATGTGTCCCCTCTTCTTCATGTCTCTTCTACATCAACATGTGTCCCCTCTTCTTCATGTCTCTTCTACATCAACATGTGTCCCCTCTTCTTCATGTCTCTTCTACATCAACACGTGTCCCCTCTTCTTCATGCCTCTTCTACATCAACACGTGTCCCCTCTTCTTCATGTCTCTTCTACATCAACATGTGTCCCCTCTTCTCCATGTCTCTTCTACATCAACATGTGTCCCCTCTTCTTCATGCCTCTTCTACATCAACACGTGTCCCCTCTTCTTCATGTCTCTTCTACATCAACACGTGTCCCCTCTTCTCCATGTCTCTTCTACATCACCATGTGTCCCCTCTTCCTCATGTCTCTTCTACATCAACATGTGTCCCCTCTTCTCCATGTCTCTTCTACATCACCATGTGACCCCTCTTCCTCATGTCTCTTCTACATCAACATGTGTCTCCTCTTCTTCATGTCTCTTCTACATCAACATGTGTCCCCTCTTCTCCATGTCTCTTCTACATCAACATGTGTCTCCTCTTCTTCATGTCTCTTCTACATTAACATGTGTCCCCTCTTCTTCATGTCTGTTCTACATCAACATGTGTCCTCCCTTCTTCATGTCTCTTCTACATCAACATGTGTCCCCTCTTCTTCATGTCTCTTCTACATCAACATGTGTCCCCCTCTTCTTCATGTCTCTTCTACATCAACATGTGTCCCCTCTTCTTCATGTCTCTTCTACATCAACATGTGTCCCCTCTTCTTCATGTCTCTTCTACATCAACACGTGTCCCCTCTTCTTCATGCCTCTTCTACATCAACACGTGTCCCCTCTTCTTCATGTCTCTTCTACATCAACATGTGTCCCCTCTTCTCCATGTCTCTTCTACATCAACATGTGTCCCCTCTTCTTCATGCCTCTTCTACATCAACACGTGTCCCCTCTTCTTCATGCCTCTTCTACATCAACACGTGTCCCCTCTTCTTCATGTCTCTTCTACATCACCATGTGTCCCCTCTTCCTCATGTCTCTTCTACATCAACATGTGTCCCCTCTTCTCCATGTCTCTTCTACATCACCATGTGACCCCTCTTCCTCATGTCTCTTCTACATCAACATGTGTCTCCTCTTCTTCATGTCTCTTCTACATTAACATGTGTCCCCTCTTCTTCATGTCTGTTCTACATCAACATGTGTCCCATCTTCTTCATGTCTCTTCTACATCAACAAGTGTCCCCTCTTCTTCATGTCTCTTCTACATCAACATGTGTCCCCTCTTCTTCATGTCTCTTCTACATCACCATGTGTCCCCTCTTCCTCATGTCTCTTCTACATCAACACGTGTCCCCTCTTCTCCATGTCTCTTCTACATCACCATGTGACCCCTCTTCCTCATGTCTCTTCTACATCAACATGTGTCTCCTCTTCTTCATGTCTCTTCTACATCAACATGTGTCTCCTCTTCTTCATGTCTCTTCTACATTAACATGTGTCCCCTCTTCTTCATGTCTGTTCTACATCAACATGTGTCCCCTCTTCTTCATGTCTCTTCTACATCAACATGTGTCCCCTCTTCTTCATGTCTCTTCTACATCAACATGTGTCCCCTCTTCTTCATGTCTCTTCTACATCAACATGTGTTCCCCTCTTCTTCATGTCTCTTCTACATCAACATGTGTCCCCTCTTCTTCATGTCTCTTACATCAACATAGGTAATCGCTTCTAACTCAAACTGTGTCCTCAGTGTGAGTCTTCTACATCAACATGTGTCCCCTCTTCTTCGTGTCTCTCTACATCACCATGTGTCCCCTCTTCTTCATGTCTCTTCTACATCAACATGTGTCCCCTCTTCTTCATGTCTCTTCTACATCAACATGTGTCCCCTCTTCTTCATGTCTCTTCTACATCAACATGTGTCCCCTCTTCTTCATGTCTCTTCTACATCAACATGTGTCCCCTCTTCTTCATGTCTCTTCTACATCAACATGTGTCCCCTCTTCTTCATGTCTCTTCTACATCAACATGTGTCCCCTCTTCTTCATTGTCTCTTCTACATCAACATGTGTCCCCTCTTCTCCATGTCTCTTCTACATCAAACATGTGTCCCCTCTTCTCCATGTCTCTTCTACATCAACATGTGTCCCCTCTTCTTCATGTCTCTTCTACATCAACATGTGTCCCCTCTTCTTCATGTCTACTTCTACATCAACATGTGTCCCCTCTTCTTCATGTCTCTTCTACATCAACATGTGTCCCCTCTTCTTCCTGTCTCTTCTACATCAACATGTGTCCCCCTCTTCTTCATGTCTCTTCTACATCAACATGTGTCCCCTCGTCTTCATGTCTCTTCTACATCAACATGGTGTCCCCTCTTCTTCATGTCTCTTCTACATCAACATGTGTCCCCCTCTTCTTCATGTCTCTTCTACATCAACATGTGTCCCCCTTCTTCTTCCATGTCTCTTTCTACATCAACATGTGTCCCCTCTTCTTCATGTCTCTTCTACATCAACATGTGTCCCCTCTTTCTTCATGTCTCTTCTACATCAAACATGTGTCCCCTCTTCTTCATGTCTCTTCTACATCAACATGTGTCCCCTCTTCTTCATGTCTCTTCTACATCAACATGTGTCCCCTCTTCTTCCTGTCTCTTCTACATCAACATGTGTCCCCTCTTCTCCATGTCTCTTCTACATCAACATGTGTCCCCTCTTCTTCATGTCTCTTCTACATCAACATGTGTCCTCTCTTCTTCGTGTCTCTTCTACATCAACATGTGTCCCCTCTTCTCCATGTCTCTTCTACATCAACATGTGTCCCCCTCTTCTTCATGTCTCTTCTACATCAACATGTGTCCCCTCTTCTTCATGTCTCTTCTACATCAACATGTGTCCTCTCTTCTTCGTGTCTCTTCTACATCAACATGTGTCCCCTCTTCTCCATGTCTCTTCTACATCAACATGTGTCCCCTCTTCTTCATGTCTCTTCTACATCAACATGTGTCCTCTCTTCTTCGTGTCTCTTCTACATCAACATGTGTCCCCTCTTCTCCATGTCTCTTCTACATCAACATGTGTCCCCCCTCTTCTTCATGTCTCTTCTACATCAACATGTGTCCCCCTCTTCTTCATGTCTCTTCTACATCAACATGTGTCCCCTCTTCTTCATGTCTCTTCTACATCAACATGTGTCCCCTCTTCTTCATGTCTCTTCTACATCAACATGTGTCCTCTCTTCTACATCAACATGTGTCCCCTCTTCTTCATGTCTCTTCTACATCAACATGTGTCCCCTCTTCTTCATGTCTCTTCTACATCAACATGTGTCCCCTCTTCTTCATGTCTCTTCTACATCAACATGTGTCCCCCTCTTCTTCATGTCTCTTCTTCATCAACATGTGTCCCCTCTTCTTCGTGTCTCTTCTACATCAACATGTGTCCCCTCTTCTTCATGTCTCTTCTACATCAACATGTGTCCCCTCTTCTTCATGTCTCTTCTACATCAACATGTGTCCCCTCTTCTTCCTGTCTCTTCTACATCAACATGTGTCCCCTCTTCTTCATGTCTCTTCTACATCAACATGTGTCCTCTCTTCTTCGTGTCTCTTCTACATCAACATGTGTCCCCTCTTCTCCATGTCTCTTCTACATCAACATGTGTCCCCCTCTTCTTCATGTCTCTTCTACATCAACATGTGTCCCCTCTTCTTCATGTCTCTTCTGCATCAACATGTGTCCCCTCTTCTTCGTGTCTCTTCTACATCAACATGTGTCCTCTCTTCTTCGTGTCTCTTCTACATCAACATGTGTCCCCTCTTCTCCATGTCTCTTCTACATCAACATGTGTCCCCTCTTCTCCATGTCTCTTCTACATCAACATGTGTCCCCTCTTCTTCATGTCTCTTCTACATCAACATGTGTCCCCTCTTCTTCATGTCTCTTCTACATCAACATGTGTCCCCTCTTCTCCATGTCTCTTCTACATCAACATGTGTCCCCCTCTTCTTCATGTCTCTTCTACATCAACATGTGTCCCCTCTTCTTCATGTCTCTTCTACATCAACATGTGTCCCCTCTTCTTCATGTCTCTTCTACATCAACATGTGTCCCCTCTTCTTCATGTCTCTTCTACATCAACATGTGTCCCCTCTTCTTCATGTCTCTTCTACATCAACATGTCCCCCCTCTTCCTCATGTCTCTTCTACATCAACATGTGTCCCCTCTTCTTCATGTCTCTTCTACATCAACATGTGTCCCCTCTTCTTCATGTCTCTCTACATCAACATGTGTCCCCTCTTCTTCATGTCTCTTCTACATCAACATGTGTCCCCTCTTCTTCATGTCTCTTCTACATCAACATGTGTCCCCTCTTCTTCATGTCTCTTCTACATCAACATGTGTCCCCTCTTCTTCATGTCTCTTCTACATCAACATGTGTCCCCTCTTCTCCCATGTCTCTTCTACATCAACATGTGTCCCCTCTTCTTCATGTCTCTTCTACATCAACATGTGTCCCCTCTCTTCTTCGTGTCTCTTCTACATCAACATGTGTCCCCCTCTTCTCATGTCTCTTCTACATCAACATGTGTCCCCCCTCTTCTTCATGTCTCTTCTACATCAACATGTGTCCCCTCTTCTTCATGTCTCTTCTACATCAACATGTGTCCCTCTCTTCTTCATGTCTCTTCTACATCAACATGTGTCCCCTCTTCTTCATGTCTCTTCTACATCAACATGTGTCCCTCTCTTCTACATCAACATGTGTCCCCTCTTCTTCATGTCTCTTCTACATCAACATGTGTCCCCTTCTTCTTCATGTCTCTTCTACATCAACATGTGTCCCCTCTTCTTCATGTCTCTTCTACATCAACATGTGTCCCCTCTTCTTCGTGTCTCTTCTACATCAACATGTGTCCCCTCTTCTTCGTGTCTCTTCTACATCAACATGTGTCCCCTCTTCTTCATGTCTCTTCTACATCAACATGTGTCCCCTCTTCTTCATGTCTCTTCTACATCAACATGTGTCCTCTCTTCTTCGTGTCTCTTCTACATCAACATGTGTCCCCTCTTCTCCATGTCTCTTCTACATCAACATGTGTCCCCCTCTTCTTCATGTCTCTTCTACATCAACATGTGTCCCCTCTTCTTCATGTCTCTTCTGCATCAACATGTGTCCCCTCTTCTTCATGTCTCTTCTACATCAACATGTGTCCTCTCTTCTTCGTGTCTCTTCTACATCAACATGTGTCCCCTCTTCTCCATGTCTCTTCTACATCAACATGTGTCCCCTCTTCTCCATGTCTCTTCTACATCAACATGTGTCCCCTCTTCTTCATGTCTCTTCTACATCAACATGTGTCCCCTCTTCTTCATGTCTCTTCTACATCAACATGTGTCCCCTCTTCTCCATGTCTCTTCTACATCAACATGTGTCCCCCTCTTCTTCATGTCTCTTCTACATCAAACATGTGTCCCCTCTTCTTCATGTCTCTTCTACATCAACATGTGTCCCCTCTTCTTCATGTCTCTTCTACATCAACATGTGTCCCCTCTTCTTCATGTCTCTTCTACATCAACATGTGTCCCCTCTTCTTCATGTCTCTTCTACATCAACATGTCCCCCCTCTTCCTCATGTCTCTTCTACATCAACATGTGTCCCCCTCTTCTCATGTCTCTTCTACATCAACATGTGTCCCCTCTTCTTCATGTCTCTTCTACATCAACATGTGTCCCCTCTTCTTCATGTCTCTTCTACATCAACATGTGTCCCCTCTTCTTCATGTCTCTTCTACATCAACATGTGTCCCCTCTTCTTCATGTCTCTTCTACATCAACATGTGTCCCCTCTTCTTCATGTCTCTTCTACATCAACATGTGTCCCCCTCTTCTTCATGTCTCTTCTACATCAACATGTGTCCCTCTTCTTCATGTCTCTTCTACATCAACATGTGTCCCCTCTTCTTCATGTCTCTTCTACATCAACATGTGTCCCCTCTTCTTCATGTCTCTTCTACATCAACATGTGTCCCCTCTTCTTCATGTCTCTTCTACATCAACATGTGTCCCCTCTTCTTCATGTCTCTTCTACATCAACATGTGTCCCCTCTGTGGAAAGAGACTCTGAAAGTTTCAGGAACAAAGATTCTCTTTCTTTTTGATCCATTTCTATAAAAACCTGTCTGAAAATGAGCTGATCAGATTTTGGTCACTTTATGATGTCATAACGATGTTTTGGCTTGGTAACCATTAGCCAATCAGCAACCAAGGTAACCCCCCCCCCCCCCCCCCCCCCTTATCACCTGAATCTCCTCCTAGAGCACCATTGAGTTCTTTGTAACCAAATGTCTCTCAGAGGGGCGTGGGGAGGGGCTCCTTATTTTCATCTAAAGTAACAGACATAGAATCAGCTCTTTGGAAGCAGGGCTGAAACAGAGGGGATTATGGGTAATGCTGCAATGACCCGTTTGGTGTTTCAGCCAATCAGAGACAGGTTCTGTATATATCTGAGACCTGTAATATATTGATGAACAACAGTATAATAGGGGACCTTTAAAATTGAGATTAGGTTTGAACTGATATTGCAATTGCGATCTAGATTAGAAATACAATATTGATCTTGAATTTTTCTCAATACTGGAAGGATTGATCTATTTTAAACCATAATTCTCATTGATAAACATATTAAAGGATCCGTACCAAACTAACTATATTTTGTCTATAGGGATGTAGGACATGATTTGTAGGCTAAGATATCTCTGCAGCTTTTCAATACGTCATTCAAAATGTATATTAAGCCTTTAAAAAATATTGTTCTTCCTGAGATTTATAAAATATTGCAATAACGATAACATTTTGATTAATTGTGCAGCCCTAGTTTAGATAACATGTTCAATCATGGACCTTTATTCACATTACTTCATGGATTGCATTTATTTTCAATGAGGGTCTTATTCGAAACCTTAGATAGAGCGTTGATGTTAGGTTTAATCAATAGAACAGTGAGATGTTTATATTTGAACCAACCACCCAAACAAATACTAATAATAGATGTATGGTCCCTCTCCCTCCCACTACCCTCTCTTTATACATCCTGTGCACGAGCGGCAACGCCCCCTGTAGCTGTTTGGCTGGATTACTTTAGTGTGGTACTTTATCTGTTCACCATTTACAGAACCAGAGCTGAACACGAGACGTCTGCTTTCCTCACACACAGCCAGAGTGTATTGGATTAGAATCTCTGTCTGCACCTTGAATCAGGCTTCTTTCTGAGTGAAAGTACACTTAATAACCCGTGTCCTTCAGGAAGTAGAGGAGAATAGAAACAAAAAACATCTTAAGACAAAGTGTGCGTGTCCTTACCCTCCAAATAGTCACTTATCTTCTGCTTCACTTCCTGGGTTTTATTTTTCCTGCTACAAATAAGCTGTGAAAAGGAAAAAACAAATGAGAAATGGGCATATAAGTATAGCTGAGTGCATGCAACTGTTGCTGGATTAGCTGGGGAAAGAATGTGTCTAATTTTAGCCTTCAATGTGCGGCGAGTGATTGTTGCCAAAAGATTTAAAAAGGTCAGGGCTTCAAAATCAGAGTGAGCATAACGGCACCTCCCTCAGCAGCGACTGTGCGAAGCTGAGAAGCTGCTAGAAGTGCACAGACTCAAAACTGCCTGTGTAATAAATAACCCCAAAGTTCAATAAGGGTTACAAACAAGTGTAACAAGAATTGAAACTGAGCGATCTCATTCCTCTGCATGTTTTTAAAGCTAGGCTAAATGAAATGCTCGTTGATACTATGGCCACTTGTAAATGTCTATAACTATGTAAATGTATCCTGTAAATATAATGTATAATGTCCTTTATTGTTGTATGTTTCATGTGGAACCTATATGCTGCAGGCCTCCCTTGAAAAAGAGATCTATGATCTCAATGGGACCAATCTGGTTAAATAAAGGTTTGAAATGAAATGAAGTGTCCTCACATCACAAGGCTTCTGGCCGTCCTTGTTCTTGCAGCTCTTATCGCAGTCGGGATGCGAACACAGGACGTTGACCACGTCAGGGCATCCGAACTTACAGGCAAAGTGGAGAGGGGTTTCAAAGCCCTGCGGCATAAAGAGAAACGTTAATAACACACAACTACTCTATTATGGAATACATATAGACAGTACTAACTTGATGCTTTCCTCAAGAACGTTTATATGTTATGTTATGTAGTTCAAATCAAAGAAGTGGAGCTGTAATAAATTATACTTAGTTGGGTTTCTTTTGTAGGTACATCTTGCTTAAACCAATGGGCAGTCTAGTACAACAGTCCTTCAACAAATCCTAAACTCATGAAGGTAAATGTTCAGGTTTTACAACAACAAAGTTCTATGTGCTGAGAAGAATATGTTCACGTTCTCTCATCACAAAGTAAATGTGTTTTTTGTGCAATTGAAAGATTGTACGTGGGGTACAAAATAGCCAGTTGCTAACAGGTAACTAGGTGAGAGTACAGATGTTTTCTGGGATGTTAAACGATAAGCGTGCAAATTCATATGACATATACAGGGTTCATACACTTTTTCAATGACTTCTCCAGGACCTTTACCTAATTGTCCATGACCAAAAACATTACTCTCTCTCAGCGTACCACTGGAAATGGTTTATTTTAACATGGAACAGGAAAATAAGGTCTGCATCTGAAACATGTCGTGCCTATCTAAAACAAATCCAATAGGCTTACTAGCTTCTACGCGCTAAAGCCACTAACATCTCTCACCAGCAAAACACCTCGTCAGTTAAAAGCCATTTTACGTTTCATTACAGTATTTATTATCATTATAGTATTACTATTTCGGAGATAAAATATAAATTATATTTGATGCAACTTTAGTTACATTTCCATGACTTTTTCAAAACTTTGGGAAAAATATTGTTTTCCAAAACTTTTCCAGGACCTGGAATTATCATTTTGAATGACTTTTCCAGGTTTTCAATGACCGTAAGAAGAACCCTGCATATAGCCTTTTGTTTGCTTTTTGCTTTTAACAAAGTGGTGTTTTTCTCTCATTAGTAAATTGTGGAAAGGATCTTGCTTAAGAATAGATCAAGCTGGGTGTCATCAGGTTCAGAACGTACAGCCTTATCTGGAGTGTTGAGGTAAAGATCTACGATGTAGCGGATGCGTTTTTGCAGCATGGCCTCCTGGTCGTCTGGATACATGAGGCGCATAAATGTGGGGTTTTCCAAAGTGTCCAGCAGCAGCTGAGCGATTCCCGCCTGGTTCTCCTTCGCTGCCGAGTGCATCACGTTGTACCGGCAGCCCTCCTTTACACACAGAGGAACACAGTTATGGATCAGGATTTAGTCATTTTATTTGAATCTCCTGGAAACAGGAAGGATGCTTCATTGTGTCCAAAAGCAGCATCTGACCGTAACTTGCTGATGTCAGGGATTTATCACCGAAATTCTTTTTTTTAAATGACAATACATGATCCTTAAAATGAACTCGCATCACATTTGCAGGTTTAAAGTACTAATTTCCATGACATCATTCAAGTTATTTGTATACACACAATCACCAGGTTTTATCTTCGACTCGATATTTAGCAAATCTAATCTTTGCTTAAAATGTATTTGATTTGTTTACTTCACAAGAGCATTAGCTTACAAGTTGGCACTGATGTGGAAAAGTGTTTTATGTCTCAACAAATGACCGGTAAAGCTAATAAATCTATTAAAAGCACACAGAGTTTAAGAAATACAGCCTAAACTAATTCTGCTTCCTTATTAAGTCCAGTTTTATTTAGTTAAAAAAGAGATGATGTGTCTACCTGCACTATGGTGGGATTATCCCCTGAGCCGATGAGATAGCGCGGGTTGTCCCAGACCAGCTCGCTGAAGGCCGCCTCGTCTCCTTTCTCCACGGCTTTCCTCAGCTTGGCCGTCAGGTCCTGCGTGCGCGGGCTCTTGAAGCTGTTGGCCCGCTCCCGGTTGATGCTGTCAACCTCCATGTGGTCTGGGTGGAGAGGGAGAAGACGTTTAACTCAAGACATTGTTCAAGGTTTGTATTTCTGTTTGCTTCAGACACAATTGACAAAGGCTCTTAGCACTAAATCTAACTAAGTTAAAGAGGGCACTTCCATTTAAATAATGTATAAAGGATAAAGAACAAATAATCCCTGAAAGCAACACAATATTATAGCCTTATAATGATTCCTTTTATAATACAGAGGACAGGAAACAGTTCTCTTCAGTGTTAACCCTTCTTCTCCCTTCTACCGATAAAAAACAGTATTGTTATAGCATTTCTTTTCACACAGAGAGGGGTTTACCTTTACTGAGGAGCAGACCTGGTTTGGCCGGAGACACACAGGGTGTGGATTTGTTGGGCGAGGCGAAATAGTCACAGATCCCCTTGGCAAACTTCTCAGCATCCTCACGGTTGGCGAAGCGGTTGAAGCGGGCGCCCTTCATCATCTTAACAGCTTGAAGGGCATCCTTCTTATCCGTGTATACATGTGCTCTCTCTACAGAGAAACAAATAAGCATTTTAAATGTTTCAATGTGACCTTAATAACCTATTAAGCCCCAAACCCCCGCTAGCAGGGGCTACGGGCTTTTTTTTCACGAAACTGTGTCTCAGGGCTTCTTAACATTGAATAAACTATGAATGTGTCATACTCACTTAACGGGAAGAAACTCAGCTATCTGACGATACGAACCATTTTTACCGAAACAAAACACATGTCTCACAAGAAGCGTCTAAATTAGCCCTGAGCGAAAAGATGCTAACGCACTTAGCACAGTAGGTATAAATACTGTATTACTTATCGGATCTGCACAAACAAGATATGTCTTCCCTTTGCTGTTTCTGATCAAAAGTTGTGTTCAATGGCATTAAAACGATAAAAACGCGGCTGAAGGTTAATCCAATGTGTCTGTGTCACTTTGAAATGATTACTGATAATCCATTATTACATTTTTATGTCAAAAACTGAGTTTTCATATTAGCTGCTATGACAGCTTCCTGTTTTGGGTATTCTGGCTATGCGTCACTCTCACTCCTTATTTGGTAACGTGTGTGTGTGTGTGTGTGTGGAACTTCCCCTCGATTCCATTGGCTCTAACGGTTAAAAAGAGATGTCAATCATCAAAATCGATTGGGGGGGGGCCAGAGATATGAAAAATCCACCCAAATGACCCCAGAAGTGGGTTTCTGTTTCTAAATCTCTCTAAAAAGGTCAAATGTCACTTGTTTTGCATCAATCTTGATACAGGGTACTTATTATATGTTATAGTTTGGATTCCTAAAGCTTTTAGTACCATCCCATCATTCGAGGGTGGTTTTCACCATAAGTAATGTTTTTTTTTTGGACGGACACAATAATTTAAGTTTTTTTACTATGTTCAATCTGAATTTACTTTAAAATAAAAAAAAATCTATATTGATTCTGACTTTTCTACATCCAACTCACAGGTGTAACCTTGCTTTGAGAAAAAAGATGATTAATTTACGCCTTTTAGAAGTGAAGTTATGGTCATTTGTTCTGGGAATGTCATTCGAGCCTGAGGCCTGAAAACAGGCTGAGGGCTTAACTTCTTGTGAAATGTATTACCGTGTGATTTCCTAACTGGTGGTTGAAGTTGTTTTTCCTTGTTAGCCAGTAAAGTCATATTCTGATGAGAATCCAGTGCCACCACAATAAAAGCAGTTAGAATAAAAGCAGTTAGAATAAAAGCAGTTAGAATAAAAGCAGTTAGAATAAAAGCAGTTAGAATAAAAGCAGTTAGAATAAAAGCAGTTAGAATAAAAGCAGTTAGAATAAAAGCAGTTAGAATAAAAGCAGTTAGAATAAAAGCAGTTGGAATAAAAGCAGTTAGAATAAAAGCAGTTAGAATAAAAGCAGTTAGAATAAAAGCAGTTAGAATAAAAGCAGTTGGAATAAAAGCAGTTAGAATAAAAGCAGTTGGAATAAAAGCAGTTAGAATAAAAGCAGTTAGAATAAAAGCAGTTAGAATAAAAGCAGTTAGAATAAAAGCAGTTCGAATAAAAGCCACCCTGACAGGTTAACATACCCAGCTTTGATTTGTGTTGTAGATTAGGAATAATTTATAATACTCTAATCTAGAAAGTTCCAGCAATCCTACTTTCTTGCTGCTTACCAAAAAAGAAATAACAAGAAATGTTTTCAACCACTTAAACAAATGAATTCAAATTTAGATGACCTACTAAAACAGCAGCAAGTCCTAAACAAATAAAAAATATGGACAAACAGTGCGAATAAACGAATAAACAACAATCTTTTAAGCTGGACTTTAGCTCCGGGGAAAAGCCAAAACTTGATCAGAAAACAGAATCACTGTCATTTGATATCAGATAGTTAGTTAAGATCTATTTAAGGCTGATTATCAATACATTGTATAGTGACGTGTCTTACTGATACAATTATGATTGTGTGAAATGGCTTTCCAAATACACATGAAGTACATCATGGTGTTTTTTCCCCCACACTAATCTAAACTGCTAATATAAAGATTACAATGCAAATGATCTATAACTTTTGCCAGCTCTTAATCTATAAAACTGAAACCTGCATCACACCACATGAAGTAAAAAGCTGTGTCTGTCTTACCATTTCTAGACAACACATCCTCCCACATTGGACATACTCCATAATAACAGGTTGGGGACACTTGTGCCGACTTTGAAGGGGTTTCCGTTTGGGACCGAGAGTGACTGCCTTCTGCAGAACAGTTTGAGGTCGTCTTTGAGAAGATCTCGTCTTCCTCAGGAGGGTTGAGACCTACTCCGTAGCCAAAGTCCAACTCTTCACTGGCCGCCTCAGTGGGTTTGCATTTTGTTGAAGCGGAGGTTAATACAGCTTCTGCAGGATTGGCATTATCCGCATCAGAGGCTCCACTGGCGGCCGAAGAGCTGCTGTCCGTGTCCGTGGCGCTGGTCTCTGGACCGGCTAGCACTCGGGCTAACTTCCTCTCAAAGGTGGCTCGGGTGGTGGCTGTGATCGGACCGCACTTGACGCCAGCTCGGGCAAACTCTCCTCGAAGTTCATCCGCACTCAGCCCCCTCAGCCTGCTCAGAACCACCTCCATGCTTCAGCTCCCTACAACACAACACAATACCTGTATTAGTCCCACAGAGGCGACATGTACATTGTTACAGCAGAAAAGAGCCAAAGACAGCTTTACCTAAGAAGCATGCAGAACAAATATTTAAGATGCAAAATAAATGAAATACATTTAAGCAATCGTGACCAGCGGATGATGATAAACAAAAAAACAAGCATGTAGGGGAATTTGATACGTAGCATTGATTTTTTTTTTTTTTTTTAGGGATTCAGAATGTTATTTTTAATACCAAATATGATTAATCATAATACTGTTGTTTGAAGTTATACTTCACGAGTCAAACATGATTTCTACAACACTGGTACAGATCCATGTAGTCTGTAATAATAAATAACATAGAAAGGAACATATTAATATATGTCTTTAAACAGAAAAGCATAATTGTATTTGGATTGGATTACACTATAGCTTATTCATAAATCATACAATTAAAATGAGCACATAACACATTGGTATGACTCAATTAAATGACAAAGTGAGAGCTAAATAGATTTTTACCGTCCACTATATTCAATATAATGAGCAATCCTATAGCCTGCGACAGCTCTGTGTGCATAACATCATTATTAAATGCCATTCATGCTTTTTAAAATACAAAAAGGTGCCACTCTTTGTTCAATTTAAACTTATTTTACCAACAACAAAACCCCTTCAGTGCAAAGTATTTCCAGGTAGGGTGCACACATATATAAGATAGCTTGTGTGTATGCTCAACAACTACAAATATTAGTACCTGAAATGCAATAAAGCAGGTAATACTGAAGTTCTAAGCACTCACATTGCTAGTTACAATCCACACTGTTATGCGAGTAGCATACGTTAGCTAGGATGCTAATCAACAAGTCAGCTTTAGCAGCCGGGAGTGAGACTGGCAAAGCTAGCAGGAGGGAAACTGCTCAGATGAAGATCGACAATGGAAGATTAAACACACACACACTTTGACCTGGAATTATAACGATCACAAATATATAAAAAAATGGATAAACAATGACAATATCAATCGGTTCTTTCGCACGCTGTCACGCCCAAGTGTGTCATTCTTCGAGGTGGATGTAACGCAACACATTTGATACGTGAAGATGGCGATACAAATCTAAGTTTAGGTGATGACATCTAATAACAAAAGTGTCCCTATACTTACCAAAGAACATTTTTATGTAACACACGCAGAGCTGTTAGAAACCGCTGTTAGTTTTGCAAAGATAAACTGTTGGACAGACACAAAGCTGGAGACGGTCTGCTCTCATTGTTTACAACATGTCCTGCGCATGCTCAGTTACAAGGGAGGGAGCACGGTGCATTCCAGTGCTGTGGGAAAATTAAGCTCTGAATGACCTGAGGGTGACAGGCGAGCGGAGATAATTTGCAACCGGCATGTGGCATTGCACTGACGGATCATGTCACCACTTTACTCACTCCAAACAGTGCCTTTTTGTAACATATACGGAATTTGTGTTCAAAAAAAGTTGTTTTGCCGTGCCACGAGAAATAATATTATTCACACTTAACTCAGCTGAGATATACACGATCTAAATCCCTTTAACTCTACTATAATCACATTTAATTGTATGCTTGTTCAAGTCTTTAATCATTAATATCGCTGGTGGACGATTACAAACAAAACAGAAAGCTACTTTAAGTTGCTTCTGGCGGACGTGTCTTATACATGTACACTTGAACGTTGCATCGTGCTCTCCCATAGCAGACGTGACAAATCGAAAGAAACGATAACCTAGCAAACTCATGTGCAGGTATTTCTGGTTAACAACGAATTCACATTGTTTATAATAAATGCAAAAACCGAAATAGTGAAAATGAAGTGCCGGGATAAACACAATATTAGAGTATAATCATGTTGGCACAATCCCCACGTTTGCAGGCCAACTTGTTGAGGCAAGACATACGATATTAATAGAAAAATAACATCGCTACCCGGAATAGACACTTGCTCGTTTAAGGTTGCAAGCAAAGACATTAAGCATTACGTGTGTTGGATTCACAATCCGGTTAAGGAAGCTGAGTTTGACAAGCAGGCTAACTAGCCACTTAGCAAGGACAGAAGCTAATCAGTCAAGCCACCGGTTAGCATTAGCATACATGAAATACCTACAGTAAGAACAGTTTTTAGTGTCCCTCACGAGCACATACGCTTAAACATGTTTCACAGTTAACTGTAGTGTAATGTTAGTTGAACATATTATCATTTTTAACAGTGACATGCCCACCTCCACCTCTCCTCCCGGTAACTGTTGCTAGGTGTCTTCTGTTCTCTCACCGCTAACGGTTTCAAAATGCAGACAGTTAGGACCCCGTTGTGGCTAACGGAGTGCCTGATCAAAACAACGATTAAAACTTAATTAAATTGAAATTCAAAGGCTTTGTTGTCAAGCACATTATCTACAGTGTAGATAGGGCAAAGTCTCAAGAAAATGTAAATAGTGCAAGAAGAAACAGAGTAGAATACAATAATGCATATTATGTTGCAAGTGTGCAAGTAATGCTGATGAAGAGGATGAATCATCAGTAGTGGAACAAGTATTCAGATTACTAAAATTAATTTAACTAATTACTAAAGTACAAGCAATACTACAGAACAGAGGTGGGAGAAGTACTCAGGTCTTGCACTTGAGTAAAAGTAGAAGTACTCAGGTCTTGTACTTGAGTAAAAGTAGAAGTACTCAGATCTTGTACTTGAGTAAAAGTAGAAGTACTCAGATCTTGTACTTGAGTAAAAGTAAAAGTAGTCAGATCTTGTACTTGAGCAAAAGTAGAAGTACCAGAGTGTAGGAATACTCTGTTACAGTAAAAGTCCTGCATTCAAAATGTTCCTCAAGTAAAAGTATAAAAGTATTATCATCAAAATATAGTTAAAGTAGCAAAAGTTAAAGTAGTCATTCGGCAGATTGGCCCATTTCAGAATAATATATATGATATGGTTAGATTATAATCATTGATGCATTAATATGTTTATGTGGATTTACTCCAGGTGAAACTAAAATCTTATTTAACCTGTTAAGCCCCAAAGCCCCCCCTCGGCGGGGGCTTTTTTTTCCACGACACTGTGTCTCTCAGGGCATCTTAATATTTAAGAACCTATTAATGTGTTATACCAGATTAACGGGAAGAATCTCAGCTAACTGACGATACAACAATTTTTACCAAAACAAAACACAAGTCTCATAAGAAGCATCTAAATGACCCCTGAGCGAAAAATGCTAACACGCTTTGGCACAGAACTCAAGATAAAAGATACCCTTATTACTTATCGTAGCTGCACATACAAGATATCCGATTAAAGCTGAGGTTCCACATATTATTTAGGTATAGTATCATCACTAAGTGATCCGAACTCGAGACAGGGGAAGCAAACACAGACACCACAACACGTACCTTTACGGAGCTTTTACGGGAGATCGTCTCACCGTAGCTGTCAATCTGATCAAAAGACTCGTTCAATGGCATTAAAACGAGAAAAAACGCGGCTGAATCGGTTAATCCATAATGTTTCTGTGGAACTGAAACAATTATTTATAATCCATAATTCCATTTGTATGTTGTATGCTAACCACCTGAGTTATCGCAGCTTCCGGTTTTGGCTATGCGTCAGTCTCTCACACACACATTACCAAATAAGGAGTATGTGGGAGTTCCCCTCGATTCCATTGGCTCTGACGGTTAGAAAGAGATGTCAATTAGCAAAATCGAGCAAGGGGTCCTTTCCATTAAAGGCAGCTCATTGTGGAATAGCCTCCCAGCCTGTCCCACTCTCAATAGCTTTAAAGGTCAACTCAAACAATGGTTGAGAAACAAACAGATGTGCGATCACCGCTAAATGCACTTTAATACAGGGGTATCTCCTCTTGCACTTTAGGTAGCTCTTGTATCTTCTCTTGCACTTTATATATCGTAGCTGCTATATTGTACTGCCATGTGGTTAATGCTTATGTATGCTGCTCTTGCTCTCTTTCTCTTTCTGATATATCATGTATTTATTTATATTTATAAATGTCATGTTCTTATATGTTGTATGTGAGGGACTACGAATGGAAATTAGCTCAAAGCTCAAATCCGGCATATTTACATTTGAAGCATTATTTGTCTTCAGTGTTCATCAATGTGCATTGTCCCAATTCAAATAAACGATTAAAGGTAGGGTAGGTAATTCACTTCAGAAACACTTGTTATATTCCATGGAATGCTCTTAATATCCCGATAGCAATGAATAAATTAAATGCTTTGACAATAAATACATTAAAAAAACGTCATCTGTGGAAGCCGTAGCGCTGTAAAAAGCACGACCAATCATCTGAGCCGGCCCGGCTAAAATAACTGGATGGCCTACCTGCCTGTCAGCCTTCCATCTCGTGCACAAATTTATCTCGTGCCCTCATTGGTCATGTGCGCGTTCGTGTGTGTTGGAGGAGGGGCTCTGTAAGGAAGTCTGAAGGAAGGAGCAGATTTTTTTCGGTTGTTTAGGCCCATTCCCAAACCGCCCCCTACACCCTACCCCTACACCTACCCCTCCGTTTGCGCGTTCACGCGGAGGGTCCGCCATATTTGCGGCTTTCACACCAGCGCTTTTCCCTTTCTAGCTCCGAGCGGGAGCTTTTCTGGTTCAGCTCCGGTTTCCCTTTTCTGCTCCCGCTCTGTTCACACCGCCCAGAGCCCGACTGGTGCTGCCGCTGCTGCGTCATGACGTTACGGCGCTCACAACAACAACAACAACAACAACAACAACACCAACAACAACAACAACAACGGGGAACTGCGTCGGGTCGATGATCGTGTTGTTTTTAATCACACGAAGCCAGATTAAATTAAATAACGACTTCTCCAACCTTATACTTTTCTCCAGAGTGCCGTGGTTCATTGTTTATTAATGTGTTTCTGCGGCATTTACCGACCGCTGCAGTGTTGGCTGCTCTTCCACGGGAGTTTTTCTCCTCCGTTAGCTCCCGGTTAGCTCACACTGCAGCGGCCCAGGGTCGGCGTCATGGGGGGTCATTCGCGGGCCATGCCCCCCCAAATGAGTCACTGTGCCCCCCCAACGCAGGGTGGGCAAGCCTTATTGCCACTTTGCCGTTTTTTTTATTTTTAATCATATAAGTTAAAACGTTTCCACCAAAAGTTTTTTGTGTGAAATACATCAGAAATAAAGAATACACATTTGTATTCTTTATTTATTCTTTATATGAAACACAGCCTGAGGTGTGCTCACTGCTGCTCTCTGATTGGTGTGTTGCTTGACCAATGACCCCGACTTTTGTTTTGTTATCATTACGTGGCTGTGTGTTTAGATGAAAGCCCAGTGGCGATCTGTCCATCTGTTATACTGATTATACAGTAAAGCCATCGAAAATAATATGATATACAGTACAGTACAAGTACATGGGTCTCTGTGTTTCATTCAAGCTCGGCTCTCTGTGTGTGGCACGAGCGCATTTTGTCAGTGCGCGAGCGGTAACGTGGAATATTGTTGTTAGCATCTGGTTAGCTAGCTATGCTAACGGATATAAAGAGCTGTTTCTACACCAAGGTGGAGGAGAGTCCTCTCCTGTCAGACTGAGAGGATCTTATAACGTCAGCTCAGTGAGGTAAGGACTCTCAGTGTTTAGATAGTTCACTTTAGTGTAAGTTATCTCAGTGGGTCTCAAACGGTTTGGTGACCATTTATGTAAACAAGTATTTGCGAGGAATAGGCTACCTTTATATGATCATTATAGTCATTAAAGAATAAGAGAATACATGAAAAACGGGTATGACCTACTATAGGACAATAACACAAGAATACCATTTAAAAGGGGAGTGATTAGTAAAATATCCATAAAGAAAAAGTAAATCTGTACAGTTCTGTTTCATATGGATGTTGAGAGATGTATCCATAGATCTCTTCATTTTGCTCTCAAAGTGCACCAGATTGATGCTTTTAACTTCAATATTTTAAAAATAATCTTCCCGGGGGAGCATGCCCCCGGACCCTCCTAGAGGAGGTTAGGTCCACCCCCCACCTAAAACATGTTCACATGGATAGGATACTAAATACATTTGCACACTTTTCATATGGTGGCCTATGTCCATATGTTTCTGTTTTGGTGGTCGTGCCACAACCGTGCATGTATGCACAAGTCATAGGTGCGCTGTACAATAGCACTACACCCCTGCAATGTGTGTGAAAGACAATAAACTTTACAGCATGTTTTTTTTAATTGAAGTTGCGTTGGTGTTTGTGTGTTGGTTGTTGACGGCAGTATGTGCCCCCCCTTGGTAAATGATTGCCCCCCCATTTGATTTGTTC